CAGGGATGGTCTGATAGAAACAATTCAATACACAATCCCCACAGCCATTCCACTCATCCACACACAAATTCTCAGCCTTCTGGTCAATTCACAGTGTATGGAAAAACTCTCTCTCTCTTCTCCAATGGCCACTGCCTGGATATACACACTACGTCTCCCTTTCATATTATCTTTCTTCATTGTAACCTCTGCAGTTTCTGAATCAGACATTCTTCTCACATTCAAAAACTCCATTGAAGACCCCATGAACTTTCTTTCAGGTTGGACAAACACCACAAAAATTCACTATTGTAACTGGACTGGAATCAGTTGCACAAGAACACTTCCATTTTCTGTGTCTAGTATTAACCTTCAAAACTTGAATCTTTCTGGTGAAATCTCAGACTCTGTATGTAAACTTTCCAAGCTGAATAACCTTAATCTCGCTGATAACCTATTCAACCAGCCTATTCCACTCCATCTGTCTCAATGTGGTTCTTTGGAGAGTTTGAATATTAGTAATAATCTGATTTGGGGTACAATTCCTGGTCAGATTTCTCAGATTGGGTCATTGAGAGTTCTTGATTTTAGCAGAAATCATATTGAAGGGAAGATCCCAGAGAGCATTGGTTCATTGAAGCAGCTTCAGTTTCTCATATTGGGTAGTAATTTGCTCTCAGGTAGTGTTCCACTTGCTCTTGGAAATTTTACTGAACTTCTAGTTCTTGATTTATCTGAAAATCCCTTCTTGGATAGTGAAATTCCTGGTGATATTGCTAAACTCAATAAGCTCGAACAGTTGTTGTTACAGGGCTCTGGATTTTATGGTGAAATGCCAGATTTCTTTGTGGGTTTGAAACGTTTAATGATTTTGGACCTTTCTCAGAACAATCTCATTGGTGAAATACCTAAGATTGAGTTGTTTCTCCCTAATTTGGTTTCTTTTGATGTTTCAAGAAATAAGCTTTCTGGGTCATTTCCAAATGGAGTTTGTGAAGCTAAAGGTTTAATAAATCTTAGTCTACATTCAAATTTTTTGAATGGTTCAATACCTAATGAATCCATTAATAACTGCATAACTCTTGAGAGGTTTCAAGTTCAGAACAATGGGTTCAGTGGGAATTTTCCTTCTTCGCTATGGTCATTGCCTAAAGTCAAGCTCATTAGAGCTGAAAATAACAGATTTACTGGCGAAATACCTGATTCGTTATCTGGGGATGCTCAAATGGAGCAAGTTCAGATTGATAATAATAGCTTCATTGGTAAAATTCCTCAGGGACTTGGAAAGATTAGAAGCTTGTATAGATTCTCTGCATCCTTGAATGGTTTTTATGGTGAGCTTCCTCCAAATTTATGTGATTCACCTGTAATGAGTATAATAAATCTCTCCAAAAATTACCTTTCAGGTAGGATCCCAGAACTGATAAAATGTCGAAAACTGGTATCATTGTCTCTGGCAGATAACAGTTTTGTTGGTGAGATACCGGAATCTCTTGCTAAACTTCCAGTATTAACTTACCTTGATCTTTCTTGTAACAATCTCACCGGTTCAATTCCAGAAGAGCTTCAAAACTTGAAACTTGCTCTCTTCAATGTTTCTTTCAATCAGCTCGTGGGTCGAGTTCCATTATCGTTGATATCTGGCCTCCCCGCTTCATTCTTGCAAGGGAATCCCGGCTTATGTGGCCCCGGCTTGACTAATTCTTGTTCTGGTAACAAGCCAACGAGCAAAACATCCCGTCTTACTAAAGTAACAAGTGCCTTAGTTTCTATAGCTTTATTTTTCGCGCTAGTGATTGTTGCTTTTGGATTTTACCTTGTGCGTTGCTCTCACAATCGAAAATCTCAACTGGGTAGTTGGAGATTGGTATTCTTTTATCCTCTTCGAGTGACTGAGCATGATTTGATTATGGCAATGGATGAAAAGAATGCTAGGGGAGGTGGTGGAGTGTTTGGAAGTGTTTATATTGTGAATTTACCAAGTGGTGAACTTGTTGCCGTGAAGAAGATAATGAACTTTCGCAGCCAGTCTTCGAAATCTTTGAAAACTGAGATAAAATCTATAGCAAAGATCAGGCATAAGAATGTTATTAAAATTCTTGGCTTCTGTCATTCAGATGATTCCATGTTTTTGATATACGAATATTTACCAAATGGAAGCCTTGGGGATCTTATCGACAAAACAGGCTTCGATTTTCCATGGACAGTTAGATTAAAGATTGCCATTGGTATTGCTCAAGCACTGGCCTATCTTCACAAGGATTATCTTCCACATTTACTTCACAGAAATGTGAAGTCGACAAATATTCTTTTAGATGCTGATCTTCAACCAAAGCTCACTGATATTGCTTTTGACCGAATTGTTGGAGAAAATGTATTTCAGTCAACCATGGCATCAGAATGTGCATTTTCTTGTTACTTAGCACCAGGTATTGAAGTGTTACAGAACTTTACGACCCTCTGTTCTTGCATAAGGCAATAACAAAGATGCAACCATGTTAGTGATTGAACGAGATTGAGAATGAGAATAATCTATAAGACCTATTATGTTCTTTGATCACTTGTCCTTGATTCATAATGTATTGTTTTCTTAGTAACTATCTTTACACAATGGGAAGTTATTGCTAATGGCTATAATTATATATCCAAAAATTGTCTTTTCCAGGCTTGGAATTAACAACCCCTCATTCGATATTGGTTTCATTGCTGCAGAATATGGTTACACTAAAAAAGCCACAGAAAAAAACGACACGTATGGATTTGGCGTCGTTTTGTTAGAGCTCATAACAGGCCGGAAAGCAGAACGAAAAGAAGAAGAATCAGGGGAATCTCTTGACATTGTGCAGTGGGTAAGACGAAAGATTAACATCACTGATGGGGCCTTGAAAGTTCTTGACCCAAAGATTTCTAGTTCCTCCCAACAAGAAATGCTGGGAGTTCTCGAGATTGCTCTACGTTGTACGGCTGTGATACCAGAAAAACGACCATCAATGTCAGAGGTTGTAAAAGCGCTCGAGACCATCAACTCAAGAGCCAGTTCATCTAATCCACCGTTTTAAGGTCCTCTCTAAACTTTAAACAAATATACTATTTTGATTGTAAATCCTCCCTAACTTTAAATGACTCTTTTGAAGTGAGTCCTGTTTTTGAATGGTCGTGTTCTGGGGTGTGATATATGGGAAGGGAATGTATGGAGTATTAACTTCCTGGTTTTGTTACTGTAGTATATTCTCTTTGTGCTACAGAAATCTGCAATGAAATTTACTGTTTTCGCCAGTCATGCGTGTTATACGTATAAATTTTTTACTAGTATTTTATTTTCTGTGATATTCTTGATAAGAAAGAACTTCCATATTCAACTAAAAGTTAAGTTTAGCTGAACCAGATTATCCATTGACAGAGGATGTGCCAGTGAAAAGCAAAATAGAGAGGAGCACACGAACTATCAACGAACAACGCGAAAATAAGTTTAAAAATACTAAACTGTAATCAAATTTATAACTAATTGAAAGTTAGATAGTGCAACACTGCAAAAAAAATTCAGTGTCGGCACAGAAACAAGACAAGAAAGTCTTATATCAAACTCCTAATAAACGCCATTACTGACTCAACTACTAACTGCTAGGACCGCTGTTGCAAACCTCTACTAATTCTGCCACAATTTCATCAATTTCTTGATCCCCCTTTTCACTTATTTTCTCTTTCATTTCGTTGGCTTTTTCTCTCACAAATTCTCCACTTTTTTCCATCACAACTTGCTTAATAACTTCTGCTAACCTTTCTCTGTGAAGCTGCCCCTTTGAGTCTCTCACCACCTCCACTCCAACACCAATATCTTCAACAAATCTGGCATTGATAGGCTGGTCGAGATGCATAGGCAATGCAATAATGGGAACGCCAAAATTCATACTCTCCAAAACTGAGTTCCACCCACAGTGACTCAAAAATCCACCAATATTTTCATGTCCTAGAATTTTCAGTTGCGGGGCCCATCCCTCGATGACCAATCCTCTTCCGCTAACAATTTCGAGAAACCCTTTTGGCAGTGTCTCCTCGAGTTTATGTTCCACGCCTTTAGGAAACCTCACAACCCATATGAAGTTAATGTTGCTTAGTTCTAAACCATGAGCAATTTCTTCAGTGTCTTCTTTGGAAAGAAAATATTCACTACCAAAGGAAACAAAAACAGTAGATTTCTTTTCTTTTTTGTTAAGCCATTCTATGATCTCGGAATTCTCATCCTCCAGGCTCGGTTCTTGAACCAATGAACCAACTGGTACAAACTTCTTGCCAACTAATTCGGTTACATAATCTATATACTTGGCCTCAGTTTTTCTTGAACCCTTTATCAGAACAATTTTGCAAGACCTCGCAACACCCTCCGAAGCACGAACCTTTTCTCGTGGATCCGATGCACAAGCTAGCAATTTATTCAAAAGCTTACTCTCATACTCACGAAAATATATCTTCGGGAAGGGGAATTCGATACCTGGCTTCTTGAAATGATGAAACATGAGAGAAGTCATTGTGGAACTGCTGGTAATGAACTCAACTGCCGGGATATTTTGGACAGAAGCAGCAAGTGGTGCCCAAGGCTGGAGAAAATCATAGATTAGCAAGTCGGGCTTTATCGATGATAAAATATTGGCAAACTCGGGTTCGGCCATGTCAAAGGCCACTTTTAGTGTTGGCATGAGGTCGAGTGGGAGGCCATTTGTGGTGTGCAAGTGAGGAGGAAGGCCTGGCAAGGTTGGCAAATGGAGTGAGACTAATTGTATCGAGTGCACAAATTTTTCGCTGATTTTTTGCTTGATGCAACCGAGATTAGCCGGAGTCGAGCACAAGTATATAATGAAATTTCTAGTGGTGAGTTTCTTGGCCAACTCTAGGTAGGGTGTTATGTGACCATACCCCAACCATGGGAACATGAGAATTCGAATAGTGCCTTTATCCATGAAAACTCTTCTCGTATCTCTCTCTCTATATCTATGTGTGTGTGTGTATATATCTTGCTGGTTCTTGAGGCTAATGCTTTTGAGAGAAAACAAGTAGTCTTATTTATGATGAAGGTGAACGTTGCATGAATGGAAAATTGAGTAGGAAAGAATGGAAAGGATTCATTTTCCATATTGGAGAGGTCTTAAGAAATGGAAAGATTTATTGCAGATGAAGATTAAAAAAGGACATGCAATATGAATAGGGTAAAAATCTTGGGAAAAATTAAATTAAAGGAAATATTGTAATAATAAATTCACAATTATGCAAGAAAATCGATGAACTTTCTCCATATATTATCATTTTCTTGATTTAAAAGGTTTCTTTTAGTGAAAATTACAAAGAGCCAAAATTTGATATCTTGATTATTATGTATAGAGAATTAAGAGATCCATATATGGAATATGATTATGGTTTTCACAAGTTAATTAGTGTTGGTAGTTAATCTTGATGAAACAGACGACTACAGATTTCAAATGGTATATTTCACGTAAGTATGTGACTACATTCGTCAACCTTGTCGAGTTTTGTTATCTCCAATTAAGAAGCAAAGGTCACATATGCCAGTATTCACCGGTAAAACGCTGTGTCTATTCTTTTAGATTCATCGTTATATCTCAAAATTGAAATATTCTAAAAATATTAAGATTCTCATCAAACAAAGTTGCTCGACTTAAAAATTTCAGTGTACATACCCCAAAAATTTCCGTATTAATGGTAGGATTTAATGCACAAAAAGGATATGAATATTAATAGGGTAAGATTGAACAAAATCACGATTAAAAGGGAAAAAAAATGATAGATACCAATTAATTAAAGAAAAAGAATATTATATATAATTAAGATTATATTGATCTCCTCGAATTTCGAGAGCCCAAGTTTGATTTCTTTCTTGGTAATTTAAAATGGGCCTACACATAGTTCATTATGCAATGGAATTAGGGAAAAAAAAAAAATCATAAATAAGGTGTATACTTTACACCAATTCAAAAATCAGATTTATAGTTTGAAAATTCAAAAATCAAATTTTTTTTTAATTTTTTATTTATTATTAAATATTTAATTCTAATATAATATAATTAACTCATTCCACATGCACAACCCATATCGCCTTGAGGACTATTCCGTCAATCATTCCAATCACCACTCTTCTCCGACGATCTTTTTGACGACTGCTACAATTCCGATAACTATTCCGGTGACAATTCTGATCACAGATTTACAATTTACGTTCACGGTTCAAAAATTTTATAGGTCACAATTAACTCATTGGTCACAGATTTCAAAATTAGTTGGTCACAGATCAAAATTCATAGGTTACACAGTCACAGATTTTCAAATTAATTGGTCACTGATTATTTTTCAATCACATATTGTCAAATATTTAGGTCACAGTTAAATATTTGGTCACAGATAGTCAAATACTTGGTCACATACCAGTGGCACTACTTCAGCCACCACCACCACCACAACACAAAACACTGCCACCACCCACAGCCACCAAACAAAACACGGCCACCACCCCAACATAACCGTCTCCAGCATCGACACAATCACTGGAAGAAACCATCACAACCACCAGGATCACGACCACCGCCAGATTCGCCATAGCCACCAACACAATTATCGGCACAACCAATAAAAATCACCTAAAACCCCCTAACAACACAAAAACACCACCACAAAAACACCACCAACACCACAACCGCACCCAACCACCACCTACACTACACACAACACCACGCTCAACCAAATATAAAAAAAAAAGACGAAAAAGAAGAATAATGCTAGGGCATGTTGTTTACAAGCGTCGAGCGGCGCCCAAACACTCACAGCAGCGCCGCGACGCTGTGAACGGCAGCGTCGCAACGCTGACAGAGAGGAGGGGGAGGGGGAGGGGGAGCGAGGCAACAAACAGTGGTGCTAGTGAGAGAGGGGAGAGATGAATTATTTAGGATTTTACAACACCACGCCCAACCAAATAAAAAAAAAACTAACAATACAAAAACACCACCACAATAACACCACCACCAACACTGCACACAACACCACGCCCAACCAAATTAAAAAAAAAAAAAACTAACAACACAAAAACACCACCACAATAACACCACCAACACCACAACCGCACCCAACCACCACCAACACTACACACAACACCACGCTCAACCAAATATTAAAAAAAAGACGAAAAAGAAGAATAATGCTAGGGCATGTTGTTTACAGGCGTCGAGCAGCGCCCAAACACTCACAGCAGCGCCGCGACGTCACAGCAGCACGCCAGCACCTCGACGCTGTGAACGGCAACGTCGCGACGCCGACAGAGAGGAGGGGAAGGGGGAGCGAGGCAACAAACAGTGGTGCTGGGAGAGATGAATTATTTAGGATTTTGATTAGATTTAAGTTGTCTTTCATATAAGTTGTCTTTGAAAATGTAAAGGGAGTTGAACTGGCACGATTTACAATGTAGATCTCAAAAACTATATGTCAGCCCGGAAGCAAATAATTAATACAATATCATTAATGATATATCGCTTATTCACTACCAAAAAAAATTATGCTTTTCCATAACAATGAAGTTCTTTTAATCTGATACAATTAACCATGTATGGACTCGAATAAAGAAAGGAGCCAATGATTTCAGTTTTATGTATCATGGCTGATCTGTTTTTCATATTTACTGTGCATTAATATCAAAAAAATGCATCAAAGTAACCACGCAATTCAAGCAACTATCAACCTTGTGATGCCATCCAGACCTCACGAAGGAGATCGTACCTAGCATTGGCTCCAATATGGTCTGATTGATCGTGGTGATTTCTGTTTCCATTTCCATTTGATAGAGAAGCTGGAGATGACGACGTTTTGTCTATAACAGATGTTAGACAAGACTCCAATTCGTCGAGTTCTTCATCACTTGTGTATCCCTTCCTCTGAATAAAAGATGCCCTTGGGGACAACTGAGATATTCCACCACCATCGCCAATTTTTTCTGCAATATCAGAAGATGTAGGTGGTGTGTACACGACTGGAGCAGCAGTGTAAGGGAAGCTGCTGCCGGATTCTCCTGACAATCTCCATTCAATGATACACTGCAAATGCATAAATGGAAGAGTAAAATTAATTCATTTCGTAGAAGATAAAATACAACAGCTAACTACCCCTTGTTCCAAATTAACTGATATTGGCAACATTGATCTTTTTTTCTCCATGTCGTTTTGTTTAATGCTCGATCAATTCGAAGATCTAAAGTAACTATATTCTTAACAACTACAGGTCGTATTAGTTTTGGTCTACACCTCCCCCCCTTTTCTTGCCGAGATCGTCACTCTTAGGAACGGGGTCTCCTCCGATCTACACAAAAATGTCCCCGATTAAGCTGTCCTTTTCTTGATTTATTCTCAGCCAATTCCACCTCCACTTCTTATTTCTACTACGTTCATCTTAAGGTATCACGGTAGACAAAAATCCTAGAATTACCGCAAGTTCTAGACTAAGACTTGGTACTACCGATTTATGGTAATTTCACGTTGTACTTTCATGAAAATATTAATTCAGCCTGCAAGTGAAGAGCATGTTACCTCTCTAATAGCTTAAACTCTTAGATGAAATAGTTCGAGACATGTACGAGACATTCCAATAATTAAATATTTTCAGAGAACAGGTGAATTCCTGAGGCCTGTAGATCTCTCAAGCATTGATTTATTTACCATATCTATTTAGAAACTATACATTTTCAGACTGATACATAGCAACTCTTTTTATATTACTCTGTTACTTTTTTGACCATATTATTGATGCCCGCACATACATATCACATTCGAAGATGGTGCAGCTACTGGTGCATGCGATCATACAGGATGAATTAGGAACCTAATAAGAAACAGCTTTTTGTGATTCACAATCTAAATAGTGAGATCCACAGATGTTTGAGTATGCTTTTGACTAAGTGAACTAATGACCAATTTTAATAACAGTTTTTTGTTGCCTAAGATACATGAAAGGTAACAACAACCATACCTCAGCATTAAGTGCCTCTAACACAGCGCCAGGGACAGGATCAGGGCAGAATTCATCTGGAGTGAAGTTGCACACTATTCGCTTAACTAATGAAAGACTGATTGATGGACACACCTATAGACAAAGATGCACATGAATATGTGGTCTGTCAAAGAGAAGAAACGAAGCAATTCAGCAAAACAAAAAAAAGAAGTGATCATGTAGTGGACCTCCATTCTGATTGCTCGATCCATAAGCATATCTTTCGGAAGCATTAGAAGATCACTCAAGGCATTTAGAAGAGGAAAGCATTTCGGTTCCACACTACCCCTCCTGTCATCATCCTCGCAGCTGTTCTTACCATCTTGAACAGAACCGTCAGCATCCATGCCAAGCGAATCTGTCAACCATCTTGCCCAATTGCCAACCTAAAAGGTTTGCCTAGTTAGCATCATGTATTACATAGAATTAAATAATACAAATGTGTTAAGATTATAGGTCTGGACAGGAATACACGGCAAGAATTTTCGAAAATCCCGATTAACCCAATCAATAATAGCTCCACAATTGACAAGATGAGCAGAGCCTCCTGTAATTCGGTCTTACAAGAACTGAGCGTGGCATTTGAATGGTAAACTCGATATGGCAGTAGACTTATGAAGCACTTTGCTTTTAAGGAAAAAATAAACAATAAAAAAACTTGGCATGCCATTCAATGCAGACAAGTTCTCTTGAGAGTGTTGTGCTGGAGGAATCATGCAAATTAGGTCCGCGTACTTACAGAATTTTTAAGCTGCACACCAGACCCAAAACTCAAGTCTCCAGCTGGAATAGGCAAAACCTTGGAATCAACTATAGGATCAGATATAGGATCGGTTGGGATCTCATGGGCGGACTCACGGAGAATGGCATTGAACATGGCCACGTCTAGCCTCCCAACACATTGTTCCATCACCTATTAGAGATAATAATTGCTGATATATGTCAGATCCAGCTGCAATATATATATTCAACTGCTCAAGTGTTGAGCTTTTTAATAATCAAATTTCATCTTCACACCCAAACAACCCCTCCGCACAAACAAACACAGACGTGGAGAAAAGAGGACAAGGCAAAAGACAATGAAGAGTAAGCGAGAGAGGAGGCTACAAGTGATCAATAATGACATCCAACTTACAAACCTTCCTCGCCAAAATAGGCAAGCAACCACATTCATGCCCCCCTGATCGAACAGGACAAAGTCTTCTGAAAGCATCATGAAAAGCATTTCTCCACAGGTTAATGGAGAAGTTGCCTTGCTGCTGGTCACCTAAGGCCGGCCCCAGTAACTTACCAACTGTTTTATTTGTTAGGGAATCGTCAGTGGGAGATTGCATATTAGGAGTCAGAGTCTGAAGCCAAAATAAATGAGTGTTAATAGGATGAGCACGTAGCTGTTTCTAAAGACAAGTTTTAACACATTTTGCAAGCTGTATGCATGACCAACAAGTAGCATAGTAAAATTTATAAATATTATCTGACATGAAAGTCAAAGTATGATGGTTCATTCTTGAGAATAAAAATAAATGTCTACAATTGAACACAGGACTAGTACCTGCCACCATATTGACTCAACTATCCGTGAGAATATCCAGGACTCGACTTTCTCCAAGGCAGCAGTAAAGGTTCTTGTTTGTTGCCAATCATCAACAAACTGTACGAGACCCTGCATATTTGGTTGTCGACTGCCAGAGTTATTTTTCCAGTTGAACGATGAAGACTTTGGTTCGTTTTTCTTTCCTCCTCCATTTGACTCAACAATCTTCGTAAGGGAACTGGAGACACATGAATTCCCAAACGCTTGAGAGAGAATTTCTCTCAGAGCAACAGTGTTTGACAACCAAAATGTTAACCTAGTACAAAATTGTAGGAAAAAATAGTAGTCAGCCTACAATAAATTACCCAACTTGTCATATAAAAGAAGCTTCTATTACACACCTTGAAACCTCGTTGCCACATGACTTGGCAACTAGAACAAGCCCAGATATAGTGTTTCTAGCAATGGTCGCTCGGTTTACTTGAGCCCAATACTTGCATGCATGGATATAGAGTCTAGAAAGGCGCCTCGCAGGTGTGTGCACCTTGTGTGCCGAGTTACCATGCTCAGGTACAACAGAGTAGAGTGCAATTTCAAGGGCAGCAACCTCTTTCAGTTCCTCTTCCAGTTTCTCAATCCTATTCTCCATTTCCTCAATCTTTTGATCTAAAGCAGCCCTGTCTTCATTCTCACCATTTTCCTCATTACTAACTATTTCATCATCACTGCAGACACTAAGAGCACCATTTGAAACCTCATCCAGGACATCAGGTTCCTTTAACTCCTCAAAAGGTTTGTCATCAACTCTCTCAGAGATCTCTGATATAGGTTTTGGATGGACTTTAATATTTCCTGAGTTATCAGTTGTATTTCTTATTGTCGATTTAGAAGGCCCTTTGTTGGGTTTTATTGCTTTCTTTGGTGTGGCTTTTGTAGCTTTGGTTTGTAAACTATTCGTTTTCTGGTCAGATTTCACCCTTGGTGCATAAGAACTGTCAGGGGATTCATTTTTAGCAAGCATTTTGGAAGCTCTTGAAGCCTTTTCTACCTTCTCCTCATCAGCCATTTGTGGATCCCCTCGAGATGAAACAGAATCACTGATTGTCCCAGGATCAGATTCTTCGGCAGTCCCCTCCCTAGGTTCACTCTCCAAATCACTACAATGATCGTTCGATTTTTCCTCACTTTCTTTCTCAACCATTTTAATTGTTTTTGAATTGTCTAATGCTTCCTCAGACCTGTAGACATCATCCACATAATCTATAACCATATTGTTATAAACTTCAGAGGACTCTGAGCCCGTGTTTGAATCACTTACTAATATGTTGGACCTTTTTTTACCGGCTGAAGCTTTAACATCAATCTCTTTCACCTTCAAGTTTTTCCCGCAATTTTCAGCCTTTGAAGGACGTTTTCCTTGTTTATTGTTTGAACCCCTCTTCTTGTCGGTCTCCTTCATGCTTAATGTTTTTTCCCTTTTCTCACTGCATTTTCAGAGAGAGACTAATTAGTGAGAAAAGCATAATTGACAACCACATAAATCAGTCACAAGGAGTTCACCAAATATCGTTGAAGTCAGAAGTGCAAACTTCCATTCCCAAAGACTCAAATATCGTATGTGGAATAGGATAAAGAAATCAAGTTTGCCTAAATGTTGGCCTCCACTAAGTAAACTTGGAACTAGGAATCACAAACTGAAGCAGAACTAGACTGCTCCCATCGGATTATTGAGTCCTTGTGCTTGTTCAAATTATATTAACATTTATAACGCACTGAAGCCATGGTATATGCATAAAAAATGGTTCTAATCAGTAAAAGTGTGTTGCTATCGGTCTCCTCGTGCAATTACATTTATACCCATTAATTCATGCCAGATAGAAATGTGACCTGAATTTTTTATCTTTATTAAGAAAAGGTAATACGAAAAATTATTTCACCAATAGATAAGATAAGTAATGTGATACAGTGAGAAAGAACAAATAATTCAATCATTTACAATCTTGTGAGTGTGAGAGGCAAGAAGTTGTTGAAGAGCGAATAAGAAGGGGCTGCCAACTTAAATCGTTTTTTCAGTCTTCATCATTTACTACCCTTTATTTTAGGACACTAATATAGAAACTAAATGTTCAATGAGACCCTATAGTTAAGAGCTTATTTTCACTTTCGTATATTCCACAGAACGAATCATTATATAATTTTTCATTGTTAACATATTTAGACCTTCGAGTTCAATTCTAGTCTAAAGACTAAAGAAATAATCAAAATTGAAATCACGGAGACTACACTAAGCAATAAGAAACTCAAGTCGTCCATTGTTATAGATCCAGAAAAAACTAAAGTTCCATAAGGTAATTCTAAATGCATATACAAAAACTCAGTTATGAAGCACGCGCGCGCAGAGAGAGAACAGAGTAGCAAGAATTCAGCAAGAGTAGAAAAGAACCGCAAATCCAGGACACCACGAGACGGTTACATAATATGGAAAGTAACTGTCAAATGAAATACAAAAAATTCGAAAATTCAACTACCATTAATAATAACCAAATATTCAGGAAAAATAAATCCACTCCAAAACACAGGAAGGGAGCGAAAATTCCAAGACGAACTGGACATTAATACCAAACATCCAGTTAAAAAGAAACAAGATCTAAGCATTAAAAAACTAATAATCTTCAGGAAATCGATAAAAACGAGAATGTAAAGCAGAATCTAGTCCATATATTTACATCGAAAGCAGTGAAAAGGAAAAACAGTAAAAGGTATATTTAGAATTTACCGAAGTGCATCGAACTCGAGAGATTGCAGAAGCTTCAAATGCCAAATTCCTCCTCTCTCTTTCTCGCCCTCAAACACTAGCACGCAGTGTTCCTCTCTAGAAACTGAAAATGAGAAATCAAGAAGCCTCTCTACACATGTGCGAATGTGTGTGTATAAGTACCATTATGGAAAGTGGTAATGAAGTGCGGGGGAATATAATATAATTTAAAAGGGTAATATTTTGAAGGACGGGTGACCGGTAAAGGGTGTCGGTGGGGGACAGTGACCGGACGATCCCGGTTACTTTACGAGGTATTATCAATTAATTATTAGGCGTTATTCGATCGTGCTACGTGTACATGACAATTTATATAATGTTTATCAATAAATGATGTGACAAAATTTAATTGAATCAAAATTTCATCAATCAAATAACTTTTCACTTATATTTTGACAATATTATGTAAATAGTTATATACGAGAAGTATTTTTCTAATGGCATTTCACACACAAAAATTAAGGACCTTTTTGTACGAAATTCATTTAAATCGATCATTTATGCCAAGAATGCAAAGATTTGGGATTATTTGCACAATTTTTTAATGGCTTGAACCAATTATTGAATAAGAAAATACTTTTGAGACCATTCGTTCTAATTTTCCTTTTTGTAACACAAGTGTAGTGGTGGCCATGGGTGAGCCAAATTGGCTTGGTCCTTAGACATTCATTTTCCTTTTTGTAACACAAGTGTAGTGGTGGCCATGGGTGAGCCAAATTGGCTTGGTCCTTAGACATTCGAGCTCGTCTCGTGTCCAAATCTTAGGATACGCTCAAACCTTTGATTCATGGGTCTAATGAGTTGGTTCATTGTTTTTAAATTTGAAATAGATGAACAAATTAAGCCAAAAATGAGCAATTTTTATATAATTAATAAGCACAAGTCGGAAAAGAATTGTGATCTCGTGCCCACAAGCCCAAACTAGTCGACTCTTGGACCTCCCGCTCGACTTGTAAAAAAATGTGTGCTCAACTCAATCCATGAATCGTCTCTCAAAACGAGTCCGAGCTGCTCATAGATCGAATCGAGATGAGTTGAGCTCACAAGCCGTGTGACAAGTTTAGGTAAATTTGTTCTGTCGGTCCATAACGTATTGTTAAAATAGCAGATAGGTTCTAATGAGAGACAATTAAGTCAAAAGTCGGGATGACGGTGACGAGTAGTAAGTGGTGCAAGTGACAGGAAAATAATTGGACATGATATTAACGCGGCACGAATAGTATGATAGTCACAAGAATATAAAAACCACTCACCTATCTCTTTCCACATGAATGTAAGCTCCACCGACAACGACTTTAAATACAAGGAACCAGCCAAAAGCTGCTTATTCACAACACAACACAACCCCACTACCAATAAACATTTTAGACCCAAACCTCAATTATTTTGATAGGCGAAGTGCATTTTCTAATAAAGTATGTGGACAGAGCCATATCCATATTCGAGATGTGGAAATTACCAACCACATTTTTTAAATTTCATATTCAAAATTTAGACATAAAGTTATTTATTTAAAAAATCAAATAATAATTCTATTTTTAATATTAATAATAATATTATAAAATTAAATTAATCTATATACCAATCCCCACCCATGCCCCCACCCCATCCTATGACTTCCCAAACTCTAATCATTCCCCTCTCTTCTTTGTATATCGTCCTCCTCTCTTTTATACCTTTAGCACATATATCATCGAAGGTCGCCAACACTACCCATTGCCACCAGGTAAGCAGCGTTGGTCGCTGCAACAGGGCGCTGCATTGCCATTCGTAACAGCGCCCCGACAAAGAGCGTCGGCACTATGCAAGGGCCAACGCCTTGTGCAACGACGTCGCAGCATCTTTACAACTGTCACACACAACACCAAGCTAAGATCGCAACACTCATCCTTCGATCTATGTTTGGGGCGTTTTAGGTGAGCAGCAATGTGATTTATGAGCGCTTCGGGTTTTGGGGGCGCAACATTGTGATTTGTAAATGGTTAATTTCACAAATGGTCACTGAAGTTACCCGAAAATTTCAAAACGGTCACTGAATTTTCAGATTTTTTGGGCAAGTTTGAGGCAATTTTTCGACAACTTCCGACCACCAAAATCGCCGATTTCAGATACCATTGGAAAGCCCACGATATCCTCTTCAATTATCACAAAAAATCTCCCCAAAACTCCAAGTGATTTTGCCGGAATAAACCCACGAAATCGGCAACCGAAAATTGTGAAAATCTGTCCAGATTTTCA